AAAAAGCCCTCAAAATCAGAGGTGCGAGCTTCTGCGAGCTTAGAGAGATGCTGAGGCCGCTAACGGCGCATGCTCTCTCCGAAATCACAAGAGCACCAGAGAGGCTCACACAGAGAGAGGCCACACACGAAGCGAGAAGCAGCCAGAAGGCTTCCCACATGACATCTCTCTCTGTTTGTGCGCTTGTCTGCTCAGGAAAAGGATGAAGGACGTCAACGGATCGGCCATGCCGTCAAGGGCCTTTAGCAGACCTTTTCTGCCCTCTTGATGAAGGTGCGATTGCGATGAAGACCGACCTATATGGTCTTTACTTCACCGATGCTGACGCGATACCTTTCGAGCAACTTCGGATTCGCCTCATGACCCACACACACAACCTCATTCCAAATGCTTGGTAAGGCCTGATAGCCCATAGTCACATTATCTTGCACACACGCCCTCAGCTTCTCCCCTGCACCTTCTCTCTGTAGGCGTCTTTGTCACTCAGACAGACTGCGGCCCCCAGTCCCCATGCAGCTAGGTCTCGAGAGGTGCTGGCAGCTTCGTCAAGGAGATCGTGCTCGACACATGAATGGGTGCCGCGCGGCAAGTCCATCGACGGCTTCAGAGAGGCTCTGCAAGAGCGGTTTTTCTGCACACTAGGTACGTGTGAGTGAGCAGCTGTCTGTCTGTGTGTCCTTCGGTGAGTGTCCTTTGGTGAATTGTGTGTGGGTCGATAGCCATTCATTAGCGACCTGTGACGTGTGACGTGTGGATAAAATGGAGGGCTCCGAAATCCATGTCGGAGGTGCATTTGTGTGCGTGTGTGTGTGTGGATGTGTGTGTGTGTGTGCTATACTGACTGGTGCGGCAGACGCCCGGCACAGAGATGAATGAAGGTGTGGCTGGATGGGATGCCTTACTGATGCATCAGTCAAATGTCGTTGAGATATATAAAGGGGTTCACACACACACACACACACACACGCACACACACACACACACACAGAGAGAGAGAGAGAGGCACATGCGCAGTGCACGCCCCCTCCCTCCCTCCCTCTCTGCACACACAGCCCGCCCCTGCGCACATCCGTGTGTGGGAAGGTGCCTGCCTGTCTGCTGCGCACTCCTGCACACGCGCATTCACGAAATTCGCAAACCCTACGCATAATTAGGGTTTAGCTGAGCACCTCAGCCGCCTCTCCGCCCCGCTGCAATGGGAAGAAGCCCTCACAATCAGAGAGTATTAGGGTTTAGGGTGGAGGGTTGCGAGCTTAGAGGTGCTGGGGAAAGGCACGCGCCCAAGCGCACAGATCCCCGCAGAGAGGCTCACAGGAAGGCCACACACGCAGCCAGGAGCAGCCAGAAGGTCAAATCTCTGCTGCCGACGTGCCTTTGTGTCTGTCTGTGTCAGAGATGGCCGCATTGCACCAAGACAGTTGACCCCTTGGTGGTGACGCACAAACTTACCATCATCTTCATCCCCCAAGGGTAACGATAGACGCGAAAATCCTGGACATTGACCTTATCTTTGTGTTGCTTGGGCCGTGATTGTGTGTGAATGAGCAGCTTACGGCCGCCCGGTGTGTGCGGAAAGTGGATGCATCGGAGGCTCCTTAGGTTGTCAGAGGATTGCTCTCGATGAAGGCTTTGCTATGCTGCAGCCGTCGAGCGGATCTTTCTGACGCGCAGCGGAACTTCTCTCTGAGCTCTGAGGGTCGTCCTTGACGGCCCCCTGCAGGCCGACAGAGACCTGATAGACAAGATCCAAGACTAGTCTAGGGTGCGCACGAAATATGGACCCTAATTCCGTCAATGAGAAAATTTCCCCTCCTCACTTGACCCAGGTCAGCCACCCACACACACCGCTTCTCACACACACATCACACCACACCACACCACCCAGTCCTTCACTGCACTGCATGGACGTCTGGGTCTCTCCCTCCCTCCCTCCCTCTCTCTCTCTCTCTCTCTCCCTCCCTCTCTCTCTCTCTCTCTCTCTCGTGACTGACCTGTGTGTGACGCTATGTATGTGTGTGTGCAGGCCTCCCGTTCAGCGGGGATGTGCGCGAGAGCATCAAGGCGCTTGCAGAGGTCTATGCATCTCGGCCCTTCAGTCACATCGAGGTCTCTGCCAAGGCACTTGAGCGGATCTGGCAGCAGTGCTGCAAAGATGAAAGGTCCGAAGCCAAGCACCGACCGACGAACGCATGCTCACCCTGCGGGTGCGTGTGTGTGTGCGTGTGGTTGGCAGGGACTTCGCACAGTTCTACACCGACATGTGGAGTGAGATTGACAATGGAAATGGTACGTACGGCGCGGACTTACGAACGAACGAACGAACGCACGCACTCGCGCGTGGACACAGGCACATCCATCCTGTGTGTGTGTGTGTGTGTATTCAGAGGAGCATCGCCAGCGGTGTTTCGGTCCCCCCATGTGGATCGACCTCCAGGACAAGTAAGTCGAACCTGGACGCCATGCATGAGATGGCGACAGAGCTGGGCTTCGAGGCCATCTCGAGAAACCGCTTGGGCAGGTGGAGATTGGTGCCCCCAGAGGAAGTGCCAGACTCATACGCGCACGCGCTTTACATCGACGATTCACAAGACAATTATATATGACCAGACAGACCGACGGAGGGGGGGGAATTTTAATGATGCAGTGATTGGCAGGTGGTGGGTGAGCCAGCTTGCAAAGCTGCTCACACCCAGCAGTATTCTTATGGCGTGGTGCGTGTGAGAGAGAATGTGTGTGTATGTCATGGTGGGGGCTTGGCGGGCCGATTGGTGAGGGCGCGTTGAAGCACAGGTCTCAGTCCTGTGTGTGTAGATAGATTGGTGACGACTTTTGGCACGTGACGTGACACACACTACACTCACTGTGTGGGTGTGGGAGTGAGTGGTGGAGTGATGTGTGCGAAAAGGCCGGTGAGGACCTTTCCTGTAGTTAGCTGAATAGAGGATCTGCTGGGCGGTAAGTCCCAGAGTAAGAGTGCTTTTACTTTAATAAGACCGATGGACTGGCCAATCAGTCAAAGTTGTTTCTGTCCATGTATGGCA